GTGGTCCCAACATCATTCAAGGCAGATAGAAAAGCAAATTTTTTAAGTCCAATATATTATTAAGCCTCTTAAAATAAGAGGACAATTTCTTTATAACTTTGGACAATTTCCTCAACATGAGATTTCTATTCCTCTAACTTTTCAATAAGAAGATAAACAGATGTCTACTGATTATCAGTTAATTGTTCAAGAAGCTTTGGAGGAGTGTCTTATTTTTCACATAGACACTCAGAGTGTCATCTATGGGATGGCCATGATGCTTGCCTATTATAAGGTAGTGGCCACACACCAGCTGATAGTCTAACAAGCAGTAAACTTGAGTAGCTGGCTCAAGCGTTCAGGGCAAGTGATGATATCTGGGTGTTATTCTTGCTCATAGTTTTCAATAATAGCTCTCAGGACAAAATTGATAGGTAAAGATTCGATATCACAGGGAGGGACTTCAACCATACTTCTGCAATTAGGATACTTTGGTGGAATTCTTATAGGTCTCCGCATGGAAAAATTACATTTTCTAGACAAATTCTATAAAACATGTAGGAGCATTGTAATTCTTGAAGATCTTCAAATACACAATAAAATGGATCATGTTAGTTCTTCCTCAAAATTATGCATTTCTTCCATTGTATAATTCCAATATAGAAAGCTCTTTTTCACCCAGGCTTGAGCCTTCATATGCTCATGTGTCCTTTCCCCTTTCAGCACTTCATATTGGCAACTGGCCGCTGAATCTTTTGATGTACTTTGGCAGCTTACTCAAAAGTCACAGTAGTTTAAAAGTTAAAAATCAGAAATATTTTTCCCCTTCTTGCATCTAATAAAAATATCTTTATACAAAGATTAATATAATAATAACAATGTTATAACTTTATATCAAGAAAACTGAAATTGCTTAGCCATGTAGCTGAGACTACTGCAGCTACTGAGGCAGAGCTATTAGGCTGTAACCCCATTGGTCATAGCAATGGCAGATGAACTCAAACATACTAACTAGATTTAAAAAAAAAAGGAACTGAAACATAAATCCTTCCCAAAAGCAGAGATAAAACTTATGCTTTCTTTTTCAAAATTTATATATTTTATTCTAAACTTAAGAAATAAAACAAGTATTTCCATAACATAGTAGAATACAAAAAAAGCTGGTTTTATATGAAACTGCAAATCTATTATGTATAACTTGCTATTCCTTTTAAATACATAACAAAGTTATCAAGTAAGGATAATGATGATTACAATTAAGGCACAAATTTGTGTGTATGTGTATTGTGTGCATATGTGTATATATACACACATACATGCATGTACATATATAAACACATATATATTCATATACATATATATGTAAAGTAAATTCTATACATACTTTATCAATTCTTTCTCTGAATGCAGATAGCATCTTCCTTCATATGTCCTTTGTAGTTAATTTGGGTATTTATAATAATTAAAAGGATTTAGTTGCTCAAAGTTGTTCTTAAAAAAATGTTACTGTTACTGTATACCATGTTCTCTTGGTTCTGCTCATTTCACTCTTCATTATTTTGTGCAAGTCTATCCATGTTTTTCTAAAATCAACAAGTTCATCATTTCTTATGACACAGTAGTATTCCATCACAATCATATACCACAATTTATTCAGCCATTCCCCACTTGATGGGCATCGCTGCAATTTCTTGTTGTTTGCCATAACAAAGAGAGCCTCTATAAATATCTTAGAACATATAATTCTTTTCCTTTTTATCTAATCATCTTTGGAAACAGACCTAGTAGTTAGTGGTATTGATGAGTAAAACGGCAAAGGCAGCTTAATAACTCTTTGAGCATAATTCTAGATTACTCTCCAAATAGTTAGATTGGTTTATAGTTCCTCCAACAGTTAATTAGTGTCCCTTTTTCACATCCCCTTCAACATTTGTATCTTTCCCTTTCAATCATTTTAGCCAATCTGATATTATCTTTCTGATATTGTACATTCTTTATAATCCTTCTTCTGTGTAATACATGCAAACCTTATCACATCCAAGTTTCATTAAGCAGTGAATAAAGCAATAGACCTGGAGTCAGGAAGATTTGATTTCAAATCCTGTCTCACACACTAGCTTTGTGACCCTGGCAAATCACTTGAACTCTACTTTCCTCTGTTTCTCTATCTGTAAAATGAGGATAATAATAGCACCCACCTCTAGGTTTGTTGTGAGGATAAAATGAGATAATATCAGTCAAGAGTTTTGTAAGCCCTTAAAAAGTTTTATAATTCCTAAATATTAATTTTCCTAATTCCTTTCCATATAGTTCCAAAAGGCCTTCTCTTATAGAATACTCCTTACCACCATGATACAGGAATAATCTCCCTTACTAATCAATCCCATCAAGACTCACATAAACTAATTCACACTAAGGCTTAAGGTTACTAAAATAATGTCTTAGGATCAGACCTCACACTTCCCTGGCCCAACGTTTCCTTCTTTCTTTCTTTTTTTTTAAATTTTGTTTATTCTGAAGTTAATAAACATCAAATAAAATTACTATTTTCATCTACAAAGTAAAAGAGAAAAAAAGAAGTATAGGTGAAATTATAAATTTTATTATATATAGCTTGTTTTTCTTTTTAAGCATACAATAAATTCAAATATAACTTTATTTTTCCTTCAATTAACAAATATTTCTGATCTCTCCCTCCCATCCACCCCCACTGAAAAAGAAAAAAAAACAAAACGTATATAACATATATGTATAGTCAAACAAAATAAACTTCCCCATAAGACCTGCCCTGAAATGTAATTTTTACTCGGATATATGTTAGTAATTATTTTTGTTAATTTTTATCTTATTTTCAGTGACAAATCCTCCCTATCCTCCACACACTGAGATGGTATGAAATATGACATCCATTATACATGTGAAATCATGCAAAACATATTTCCTCATTTGCCATGTTCTAAACAAACAAAAAAAAACAAGAAAAATAAAGAAAGGCAAAAATATGTTTCAATTTGCATTCTGATTCCATTAGTTCTGTAACTAGAGGATGATAGTATTTTTCAGTGAGTCCTTTGGCACTCTGATGGATCAGCACCCATTCCATTGTGCCACTCTATCTCTATTTAAGAGCAAGTTCAAAGAACTGGAGCTGTTTAATCTGGAAGAAGAGTATGTTGTTCATTTATCTAGAGGGATAGTACATTATAGTTGTCTTCAAGTATTCAAAGGGCTGTCATGTGGTAGAGTGATTACATGATTTCTGCTTGGCATTAGACAATAGGACTAGGAAGAATGGGTGGAATAAGATGAAAAGAGGAAAATTTAACTTTGATGTTAGGAAAACTTCTGCCCCAAGACACAGTTCATTCCCACTGATTAAAGGACAAGCAAAGACTGGATAGCCACTTTGGGAGTATGGGGTTTTTTATGCTTTAGAAGAAATTCTTATTCAACCATAGGTTGGACTAGATGACCAACTCTAGTTGGTCTCTTCCAAATCTGAACTTCTGGGATCATGTAATTTCAAATCAATCTTCAATGCAATACTACTAGTATTAAGACAGAATACAAATCTATGCATGACACTCAATTTGATATCATCTGAAATGAACTCTGCCTATGTCCTTTGGCCAAACATTAAAATTATAGAGGGATGAGAAAGTCTATTTTACAAGCTCCATCGATTAGTTATAGAAAAGATTTATGTTTTTTATGTCAGTGGTGCTAATTATTTGGAAAATCAAGGCAAAAATGAAACTATCCCTGTCCCCAAGGAGCTTACATTCTATTAGAGGAGACAAAATGTGAATATATAAGTGAATTCAAAATATATACAATTTGGGAAATGGTATTGGGTGGGGAGGGAGCCACATAGGAATGATTATTGCAGAATAGAGTTGGTCGACATATTAATCATTACTGGGAAAGCTTGTAGCTGATAACATATGTAACATCTGCAGTTGGTTAGCAAAAAAATAAATAAATAAATGAAAATTTTAAAAAAATTAAAAAAAACCCAAGCCAAAAAAAAAAAAAACAGAAAACAAACAAATTAAAAAAAAAAAACAGTCATTGGTCTTCCAAGTAAACCTTTACAAGATCATTGTTAGTTCTTTTCATATCCAAAATTAGTTCCTTCCATATATCACTAGAAAAATTGAGCCTTTCCTTCATAGTTTAAAATGAAAAAGGCATTTTTAATATTCTGAAGTATGCAGATTATAGACTACTACAAAGATTTCAAGTGATTGCCCTGAGTAATTCATCCAGTGCCTCAAAGACTTTGTAGAAACAATGACCTTTTGTCTAATTTCTGCCATTCAGGGTAACTTATTAGTTGGTTTATTCTCTTCTCTCATAAATACAGAAAAAAGGGATTGATGGTTTGTAACATATTACATGTATTAAAGGTATAGGGCCTGACCTGCAATTTCACTGATGTAGCGAACTGCCAGAAAAAGGAATTCCTTTTACCCATGCAGGTTGGCATCTTCTCTGAAATTTATAGTCTTAGCTGCCTAGAGAATGGAAGGAATTAAGGGACTTGTCCAGAGTAACACATTGATTGTGTGTCATAAGGCAGCTCTTCCTTGTCTCAGGGTTAGCTTTCAATTAACCATGGACATGACTGTCTACTGATTATAAGGGACTACTATGAAAAAGAATTAATGGCTTAAGATTCAATATTTTTTTTCCTTGAAATAATGAGAGAGCAAAAGGAGTTGGAATACCTACTCTCATACTTTTCAATGTTATCTGATTCAATATGGTGGACAACCATGACCTGAAAGTTGTGATTGAAATAGACGAATACACTAGTAAATAAACTTAAATTTGAAAGTTTGGAGTTTATTTAAGAGTGCTAACAGTTCTTTTTCTGTGCCTTTTTCATACTACCTTTTATTATGTTCTTTCATTATTAATATACAATGAATATATTAATTAATAATGTTAATAACATAATAAACAACAACAATAACTAATCCTTAATAATTATATTCTTATATTATTTTCTTTTCTAGGTCCTTGAGGTGAGGCACTATCTTATTTCAACTCTGTATCCCTGGTGCCTTGTAAATAGTAGGTGCTTGATTCTTTCTTTTATTTGGATGGATGGAGTCAATGTAGGTGCTACTGTAAGAAAATAATAATAATAATGCTCAATGTTTTTACTGTTCTTTACATTTATCAAAGAACAAAAATATATAATCATATATCACTTACAGCAATGCTGTGAGGTAGGTAATATTACTATGTCCATTTCACAGATAAGGAAACTGAGGATGAGAGAGCATAAGTGATTCATTCAATGTCACATACTAAATAGCAGAACCAGTGTCATAATCCAAGTCTTCTGAGTTTTAGATGTTTTTTTCTTTCAATTGCAACACATTGCATTCTTTTTAGTATTCATATAGCATTTCTCACTATCACTCATCAAGGATTTGTTAAGTACTTATTATGTACCAGACAGTGCTGTGTGCCTATGATATAAGACAAAAATGAAGCATTCCCTGCCTCAATAAACTTATATTTTATTGAGAGACAACACATGTGTGTATAAACATATGCAATATATAAAAATATTAAAATATAAATATAAAATTGTTGGACAGGATGGGTACACTAGTAGCTAGAGGAATCAGGAGATGCCTCATGTAGGAAGTGGTATTTGAGTTGAGATATGAAGGAAACAAGGAATTCCAAGAGGCTGTTGTCCAAAATACACAACAGAAATTCCTCACCTGCATAGCACTGCCCTTCATAATAACTGATATGTAGTTAGTGCTTTAAATGTTGCAAATTTACTGACGTTATCTTGTCTTATTTGAACCACACAACCACCCAATAAAATAGGTGCAACTCAAATCATACCCCTATTTTGCAGAGGAGAAAAATTAAGTGATTTGCCACTGGTCACACCACACACTCTAATCTGGCCACTGTCTTCCATTTTGTTCCTCACACACAGTCTTCTGACTCCTTGCCATTGCACTGGCTGAAATGTACTTCCTCTTCCCCTTTGACTCAGAACATCTACCAGTTTTCTCAAGATGCATTCTTTTCACAGAATTTTTCTTGATCTCACCAACTGCTATCACCCTTCTTCCCTTACTTGTTTAACTACTATTTATTCCAAATATCCTTTTATCTGTATGTATTATCAGCCCTAGTAGGATGCAAGCTCCCTGTGACTAGAGGCTGTTGTTTGTTTGTTTGTTTGTTTGTTTTTTACTTTTTTTTCTTTGTATTTTCAGCAACTAATAAAGTATCTGGCATACAGTAAGATAAAAGATTTTTATTAAATGCTTCCTTTGCACTAGGAACAGTGCTAAATACAGGGAATACAAATACAAGCAAAAGAAAGACAATCCTTACCTTCAAGGTGCTTACATTCTAATGGGGAAATGGAGAGACAAAACATAAATGGGAGATGAAAAGCAAGGCAAGGGGGAAGCTCCCTGAGTTGAGAATTTTTCCAGGGAGCCATGGGATTCGCTAATTTATAATGGGATAGATGCTATGGGTATTTCATCAAATGGAGATTCCACAGACAAATGGTGATCAGAGGAAGGGATTCTAGAGGCAGAGGTGTTGCTATCCTGAAAATGATGCAGGCTTGGTGGTCAAGAAGTAATCTAGGGAGAGATGGGCTGAGCTTTCTTAATGGTTGATTGATAGTAAGTATCCAAGCTAGGAATTGAATCTATTTTCCTGGTTACATCCACTACACTGTTGCATCTTCATCAGTATCAAAAGGCATTTTTCTTTATTTTCTTATAATTTAACCTTTATCTTGAGTTTCCAACCAAGCAGGATTTCATATCGATGTTTTACCTAGAAATGGCAATTGAGCAGTAGTCACATGAGAATAGAACAGCATACCAATGTTATATGGCAGCACATAGTTTCATGTCAAGTTTCATGTTCACATAAGTTTCATCATGAACAATCTGAGTATATTAAAGTAGCACAAAATTCTACCTAGACTGAAAAAAAAATCTTTACACTTTCATATATTAGCCAATATGTGTTGAATTAGTTTTTGAGACACCATAAGCAAAAATTAATTATCCAGCCTTCAGTGTCTTGTCAGACTTCTGTAGTAAAAGGTAGGGAAGATATTTTAATGCTGTTTTGGAAAGGGTCTAGTCTATAAAATAATAAGTGCTGGCATTTTCATAAGACTTGCTTAAATGATCACATTTTATCCTTATGACAAACTCTGTTTTACATTTTATAGATGAAGAAATTAAATTTCCTAAATAGGAAACGTGATGGACAATGGGAAATAGTGCTGGATTTGGTTCAAGTCAGTGGTCTTCTATCTACCATCACTGTGACTTTAGGCAAGTCAATTAATCTTTCTGGGCTTTAGTTTCCCTTTTTTTAAAAAAAAAAAACAACAACAATGTGTTAGACTAAATGTCCTTTAAAGTCCAATCCAGCTCTAAAGTCAAACAGCTAGAAAGTAGAAGAGTAAAGACTCAAATCTAACTCTAACACTAGTACTCCCCCCCATATCATGTTATTTTCTTGGTATTCAATTTATGTGACTCCAGAGGAATATTTGGCTTACTCATATTGACACACTGTCATTGAGTCTATGCTTGGCAGAGAATCACCATGACATAGTAAAAGATACCAGTTTTGACCTCATAATGTCTGCATTCAAGTCATGGAACTGGCATTTAATAACCATGGGACCTTGAGTACAAATCACTTAACCACTACAGACATCAGTTTCTTCATTTATAGATTAAGAATATTTTCTTTATCTACTTCATGTTGTCTCATGAATATGTACACATTTCTACATAAAGTGTGCTAAATGTTTGTGTATGCCTGTGTTTATATTAATGTAGGGAACTCTCAGTGCTGAAATTCTATTTACCAATGCAATCACATCAACAGGCATTAATTGAGCTCTTACTACTATGTACCGGGGACTGCACTAAATGCAGGAAGGGGGTAAAAACCCACAGTCCTAGACATCAATGAGCTTACATTCTATTGAGGAAGACCATTTAAAAATAACTATGTAGATATAAGATATAATCAGAGTAACTAGAAGGCACTCTGAGAGGGGAAGGCATTAGCATCTGAGACAGGGACAGCAACCAGGAAAGGCCTCCTGGAGTAGGCAAGATTTGAACTGAATCTTGAAGGAAGCCAGGCAAATACGTAAACTAAAGAGAAGGGGAAGAGTATTCCAGGCGTTCCAAGCAGCCAATGTAAAAGCACCATGACAGAAGGTGGAGGGTTGTATTCAAGGAATAACAGGTAGGGCAGTTTAGCTGTGTCATAGAGTCTGTGGAGAGAAGTATAAGGAGATTAGAAAGGTCCAAAGGGAATAGATTGTGAAGAGCTTTAAGTTCCAGAGAGAGGACTTTATATTGATTCTAGAAGAGAATAGGGAGTCAGTGGAGTTTATTTAATAGAGTCAAGATTTGGGCAGACAAATGAACTTGGAAGCTGAGAGGAGGTCGGACTGAAAAAGGCAAAGATTTGAAGTAGACTGATCCATCAGGAAATTATTGCAGTAGATTAGAGGAGAGATGATAAGGATGTGAATTAGGGTATAGACTGCAGGAGTAGAGACAAGTACACAAATAGGAGAAACATGGTAAAGGCAGAAACAATAAAAGTTGCTGATTAGATATAGGTGGTTAGTTCAAACAAGGAGTGTAGGATTACACAAATGTTGAAAGACTGGATAACTAGAAGGATAGTGGTACCCTTAACAGTTTTTATCAAAGAAAAGTTTGGAAAAGGGGACGGTTTGGAGGAAAATATGAGGAGAGAAACTCAGGTTGGATGTATGGATCTGGGAATCACTCTTTATTGTGTCAGGACATCTGCTAAGAGGGAGTGGTTCTGATGAATAGCATCTATATGTGAAGCAAGTTAAATTATTTAGGTGAAGAGAATTACTAAATGGGGAGATAACAAGAAATACCAAATGTTATTCCTATAATTATTGGAGTAAATTATGTTTTTCCTTCTCAAAGACATCTTTTGTACAAAATGGTGGAACCAAAGCTAATGAATTTCTATTAAACAAAAAGCCCCCCTTTTTTATTCTTAAATTTAGAATCCCTTGGATTCATTAGTTGGCATGTAACTACCAACTCTTTAATATATCTCTTAATAAATCTCTTTATTGTAAACTCCTGAGAATACTTAGTCATTCATTGAAGTGAAGTGCATTAAATATTGCTTAACATAAATAGGACATAGGTTGAAATTTGGAAGTTTTTTGCTAACACAGATTTGTTGTAACCAAACTGACTTTTATGGATTCACATCACAACTATGAGCCATGTGTGTTTGCACTAGTCTGTGAGTATGTGAGAGAGAGAGAGAGAGAGAGAGAGAGAGAGAGAGAGAGAGATGCTAATCTGAAATAATAAATGGAAAGGACTCATGAATGGAGCATTCTAATGTAAGCACTACACTTCAAAATCTGTGCTGTATATAAATATTAGTTAAAATACCTTTTCAACAAAAATTACAATATTACATAGATTTTACAACTTGTTTATTTAAATACAATTCTAATACAATAGAAGGGATTTAGACAGGAAATAATGAGAATATAGGAATGGGAATAAGATGATTTTGCTTTTGATATTTATACATTCTTGTGTTTGCTAAAAAAAATATGAATTCTAGAGCCAGTTTTGCCAAGGGAAGTAAGACTGTAAAAAAAGTCATGTAGCTTTTCTGCCTCAGTTTCTTCAACTGTCCAGTAAGGCTGATATTATCTCCCTAACCACCTACTTAATTTGCAATAATTTGAATGTAAATGTCAGTCAACAAACATTTTAAAAGTACTTACTATATGCCAGACACTATACTAAATATTTAGGATACAAAAATGCAAAAGACAGTCCTTATTCTTAAGGATCTCACAGTCTAAATGGGATGCAATTAAATAACTAAGTCCAATTAGATATATACAGGATAAATTAGAGATAATCAACAGAGGGAAGGCCTGAGCAGCATAATGAAGCACACTGAGTTCCTT